GGTGTCATGGCATCACCGCAGCCATCATCATCACCATCACTATCACCGTCACCATCACCATCACGCTTTACACGATTGCATTGTATCATGGCATCAGATTCCATTGTGTCATGCCTCAGATTACATTATATCATGACATCACAACACACTTCAAAATGACACTACAATCCATCCTCATGTGATCACATTGCCTTTATCGTGGCATCACATTTTATTGTACCATGGCATCATGTCGCATTGTATCATTGCATCACACTGCATAATATTCATGAATCGAATCATGGCTTCACATTCATTGTACCATGGCTGCACATTCCATGTATCATGGCAGATTGTTTTGTATCACACTCTACTAAAGCATCACATGGCAGTGTGCCATGGCTTCACATTGCGTTGTACTATGCCATTGCATTACTTTGTATCATGCATCAGAATATGTTTTATCATGGCATCACAATGCATTGCATCATGGTCTCTCGTTGCATTGTATTATGCATCTGATTCTGTCATGGGATTGCATTGCGTCATATTGTATCATATCATCGGATTGTGTTATCTCACATTGTAACATAGGATCGCATTGATTGAATCATGGCCTCAGATGGCATTGTACGTATGGCATCGCATAACATTGTATCATGCCATCACATTCTGTCGTTCATGGCACCATACTCTTGTTTTATCATGAAATCGCACTGCATTGGATCATGTCATTATCTCGCTGCATTATTTATGGCATCACAATATATTAATCATACGATCACATTCCATTGTATCATGGCATGACATTGCCTTGTGTCATACCTAGAGGTGACCGTTTATGATATTAATTATTTCGTGACGTCACATTTCTTTGTATTGTGGTATCATCTGCTTGGTATCATGGCACCACCACCACAGCCTTCAGTAGCATTCAGTTACCGCCACCAGCAGAATTGTCACCAATGGCAGTCACCGGCAGTTACCGGCATCACTACCACCATCACGGCTCATGACCACCACTGCTCACCAGGGAGGAGATGGAGGCGCGGATGGGTGAGGACACAACACTGGTAGTGGATCGGTACTCATTGTCAGGCATCGCATTCTCAGCAGCCAAGGGCATTGACGTGCAATGGTGCAAGGTGAGTTAGCAGCCGTCTGTTACAGCCGGTAGTGTTGAAGGCTTTGGGGTAAAGTCAGCACCATTTTCGAATGTGTCTTAAAGCCTGATGATTCTTCGCGTCCTTGCTGTTGATTCATCCACGTGCCCCACAAAGATTTGCATCTCGTAGAACATGTCAAATGTTATGACAAGAATGCTTGGGTAAATTGGTTGTTTTAATCATTTCACTGAGCCTAGACATTTTGTTTGGCTGTTGAAGACTGCACGCATTTCCATGCACAAGCGCCACAACCCAAACTACAGGCGCTTCTACAAATGTCAGAACACTAGTCCCTGACACGTGCAAGCATCTGCTTTTCCTCTCTCCTTGTCCACTATTGCTGTCTCCTTCCGTATTATTTCTCTTGTTGCATCCAACACTTTGCAGCATGCAACAGAGCGGGAAGGTACGATGGAGAGCGGTACACGGTTTGCAAACTCGCTGAATCTACCGTGTGCAAGTCCAAGGACGGGATACCTTTTCGGCTATACATGTGGGAATGACAAACTCCTTGTACCGTATGTTCGTATGTTCAAAATAATATAGTGTTCAGATGGATGTTTCAGATACCGTAGCTCGCGGCCATGCTGTACCTGTAGTTGCTGGACTGGGCACGATGATGTTGAACGGGTGGACAAAGCGGCCCAAAAGACAGGTACAAAAAGAAAAATCAAAGGCTGGGACGTCTGGGTACACGTAACACATGGTGAGGTTGGCACTTTTACAAGTAGTTATACACAAGAAACTAGACTGGTGTCTCTGCACAACAATACTGTAATTATGTGGAGGACCTTAGTTCTTCACAGGAGAATACAGTCGCGTTGCACATTGACATTGAGGGAAATGGACTCAACAATACCGCATATTTAAAAATGAGAGGTAACTATCATGTGGCTTCCGTATCAGGGGTCAAGAGCATGAGTCATGTTTCAGCACAATCAAACTCAGAACATAATTGCTGCAACTGCTACAATCAGCTTAGAGTTGCAACCGTTACAAACAAAAGATATTTTGCCTTAGAAATATATAAGTGCTGAACGCCGTGGTGCTCCTCTAATATCATGTGGAGCGTGCAAACGGGAGCATATCCTGCAGAGATAAAAACAAGAGTGGTTAGTCAATGACAGTGATTGAAAACGATAAAATTTCACGACTTGCAAGAGCTGTGAAGTGATGCTTACCAGCACCACAGAGCCAGGTACCGAACCTGAACCTATACCCAACCTGCACGTAGGGAATGGCTCTTTGGTGAATGATGCTTGATACTTCAACCTTCAACCTTAACGATCATGGAGCTGCTCCACATCCACACTTGATGAAGCATATAAGAGTGCTGAACGCCGTGTTGCTCCTATGAGATCCTCTGGAGCGTGCAAACGGGAGCGTATCCTGCAAAGATAAAAACAGAAGTGGTTAGTCAATGACAGTGATTGAAAACGATAAATGAAAACAACTTGCAAGAGCGGTGAAGTGATGCTTACCAGCACCACAAAGCCAGGTACCGAACCTGAACCTATACCCAACCTGCACCTAGGGAATGGGTCTGTGGAGAGTGGTGCTTGATACTTCAACCTTCAACCTTGGATCATGGAGCTGCTCCACATCCACACTTGATGATGCATAGAGGAGTGCTGAACGTCGTGTTGCTCCTCTGAGATCCTCTGGAGCGTGCAAACGGGAGCATATCCTGCAGAGTTAAAAACAGAAGTGGTTAGGCAATGACGGCGATTGAAAACAAAAAAAGAAAACGACTTGCAAGAGCGGTGAAGTGATGCTTACCAGCACCACAGAGCCAGGTACCGAACCTGAACCTATACCCAACCTGCACCTAGGGAATGGCTCTGTGGTGAGTGGTGCTTGATACTTCAACCTTCAACCTTGGATCATGGAGCTGCTCCACATCCACACTTGATTAAGCATAGATAAGTGCTGAACGCCGTGGTGCTCCTCTGAGATCCTCTGGAGCGTGCTAATGGCTGGGTGCACCCTTTGAGATCCTCCAGACCTTGCAAAGAATTTTGTTTAAGACTGCAAAGAGAAAAACAAACATGGTTAGAGAATGGCAGTGATTGAAGCTTAGACGTGAAAAACGAAATGGCGCGGAAGTATTACTTGAACGAGCAGGTGCAGTTGCTTGGCTAGCGTGGCAGAAACTTCCAGGCTCAAGGGAGTTGATCATGCTCCATGATCGATTTGGTCAAGTGATGCAGGACAGGCTGCCTGGAGGCGACGTGTGATGAGGAACCAAAAATGCAGAGGAGGCTGTTGGAAACAAGCTTGAAGTTGGAGATGAGCAGAATGTTCCAGAGTAGAGGTGCAGAATGCGTGGATAGTTGGATGTGGATCGGTGAGATCCCAACGTTCTGATGTGATATGAGGTGAAACAGTCTGTGGTTGGAATTGTGCCTTGCTGGCATCTATGGTGGTCCCCAAAATGCCAGCCTGGACGATGATGGAATATACGGATTCGTGGACATTAAGTTAAAACTAGCTTGGGATTGGACCACCTCAGATTGAGTATCCTATGGGTGACGAAACTTAATCCTAGTGCCATCAAGATGACCCACGTGGCCTGCTTGAATGGCCAAAAAGCCACACGGTGGAATCACCGACATGGATAAGAACTTCAATCACCTGGAATGGAATCCAACCGGTGCGGTTCGTGTCCCGAAGCGTGCCGCTGAAAGCCGGTATATTGCTCAGCAAGAGGGTGCATGGAGGAAGAATTGGAGGGAACCACGGTTCTGTTTTGGGCTGGGCCTGACACAACTGGTGGTAGAGAGCAGCACGTGATGTGAGATGGTGTTCCTGGGATGTCCTGAGAGAGCCAGGCAGAAGGTGAAGTCAAACCTGTGATCTAGGGAATTGTTGAGCACACAGGAAACTCCTTGCAGGCTAGCGAAACTGTGATTTTCGCCAACTCGCACGAAAAGTCTCGCTGTAGGTCTCGGTTGCCCTGATTTGAGTGGAATGGTATTCGCACAATTACCAGGTTGATTCAATGACGAAACAAGTTTCCGGCGACGAATTTTATTGGTCATAGATTCGCTGGGGCTGGCGGCAAGGTTGGACAATTGTACTTTCAGCGCGGTTGAACACGGTTCGGTTTTTTCCTAGCGCGTTTGCAGTTCGCTGCGGGGTGAAGCTTGGGGCACTTGCCCCGCCTCACACCCGCTGATTCGCCTTGACTTTGTTTGTTCGTCTAAAGCAGTGTACCGAAATCATCCAGGTACTGATTGATGACGCCTCAATCGCGTACAAATGTTTCCCTGCTCACCCCTCCAGCCATACCAGAACCACCATGCGCAGCGTTCGTGCTTTCACATGGTTTCATTCCACGTGTGTCTCGCTCCCACCTATACTCAACCGCCGAGCCGTCGAGCCGCCAAGCCGCCGAGCTGCCGGAATCCATGTACGAGCTCGTCGGTGCGAGGTTATCTATATTTGGAGTCTAGAATGTGCGGGAGTCGTACCGCGCCATGTCGCGTGGCCGCTGCGTTCCTTCATGCATGCGACCAACGACGCCACGATGTCGCTCCTCCAGCCACCCTCCGCATTCCGCGGCCGCCTCTGCACTGCGACGACGACACGTCGGCGCCAACACGACGACGTCGAACGCTGCTCATTCCGCCGCGGTGCGACGCATCCTAAACGACACCGCATGCACGCTCGCATAATCTTCGACCCGCGATTCTCAGCCGCAAGAGACGGCCAGTTTGCCGGCCGCGCGTCGCATCCCTCTCACCATGGATGACTGATTCCCCCTTTAGCCAAAAACCTGGAGTCGGAGGGATCGAATGTGAACAGCACCAGGAAGTAAAAGCGTCGCGCGCTCCCATTCGACGCGCCCCGTGCATGCGACTCCCTCCGCACCTCGCACCTCCTTGTCCATTCCGTACGAAGAACGGCAGCAGCAGCGCCAGGTGGATGGGGGTATATGAGCTGCTCCAGCCGACAGTTTCACGTCAGTCGCTGTAGCGGAATCCGCCGGCCTTCGTCAGCAGCAAGCCTCTCTGCCTTCGCTGTTCCCCGTTCCCTTCCACTCCGTCGTTCGTCTTCGCCTCTGCCCCCCCGCAGTCCCTGCAGTCCCCGCTCTTCCAGTCCACTTCATTTTTAGGCGTATTCGCCCAGAAGCTACTAGCAGCACAGCAGTGCCTGAGAATCTCTGCTCTGCTGCTCTCTGCTGCAGCCGCAGACCGTGGAGCTTTTCCCCACTCTCTCCCCAGTCGGCAGCTTGTCCGTGTCGTCCGCCCCTCGTTCTCCCCGTGCCTCTTCGTCTTCCCCATGGGTTCCGACGGGTGCTTCAAGAGCGATGTGGTGGTGGGGGTTGCGTGTATGGGGTTGAGCGAGAAGGGGAAGGGGGAGGGTGGTGTGAGGAGTGGTGTGGAGGAGGGGGGCTGGGCCAAGTGGCCTGTGAACGGAGCGGAAGGGGTGGAGAACGGTGCTGCAGCAGTGAAGAATGGTTTCGTTCATCCCTACGAGTGTACCAATCCCTCCAGTGCTGTTACTGGATGCGCTTATAACGAGCCTAAGGTGCAACCTGTGACTGCAGCACCCGGGTCCCACTGCTATTCCGCCGTGCCGAGAATGAACCCCTTAAAGCCCGGCAAGCCGGTGGCGTGTGTGCTGGGCATCGGTACAGCGAATCCGGACACGATTCGGCCGCAGGGGCAGTTCGCCAAGGAGTACCTCTCACGCGTGGGGTGCCACCATGCTGAGACTCAGGCCAAGTTCGAACGCATCTGTGAGTCAAATGTAAGGGAGGGGTGGGGTGGTTGGCTGGATGGGTGGGTGGTTGCAAGAGAATGGTGATGCAAGAGAATGGTGATGCAAGAGTTGCACGTTGCATAGCAAGCCCGCTTTTCTTTCTCAGAGTGTCCTCTTCGCTCTCTGCCCTTTACTTTCTGCTCCCTCTGCTCTCTCTTCTCTCCCTCCCCCCATTTTTCCCACCAGGCTACCACACGGGCATAGACAAGCGTCACATGGTGCTACCATGGGACACCATCGCGGCCAATCCCTGCCTCCAGGAGTTCGGCGCCCCCTCCCTCGCCATGCGCCAGGAAATTCTGCACACCGAAGGCGTCAAGCTCGCCGCTGCCGCCTGCGAGCGCGCCCTTGCCGAGTGGGGCGGGGACAGAGCAGGCGTAGGGGGGGTGGGGGGAGCCGGCGGGGAAGGAAGCGGGGCAGGGGGGATAACGCATCTGGTGGTGGTGACGGTGAGCGGGGTGCACCTGCCAGGGCTGGACGTGCAGCTGGTGGAGGCCCTGGGGCTGCGCCGCTCCACCCAGCGCGTGCTGCTGCAGATGCTCGGGTGCTACGCGGGGGTGACAGCGCTGCGCATCGCCAAGGACCTTGCTGAGAATAATGCTGATGAGGGCGCGAGGGTGCTGCTCGTGTGCTCCGAACTCAACAGTCTCATCTTCCAGGTGGGGTATCATTTTCCATGCGAGGCCTAGTAGTGAGGTGCCTGTGACGTGACTCTTCAGACAACAGTACATTTCCAAAAGTGCTGCTCATCTGACGCCAAAACACCTCTTTTTCCTCCCTCACTCTCCTCGCCTCTCACTACTCCTCCACTCCCCTCCCCTCCCCTCTTCCCCTTTCCTCCCCACCCGTCCCCACCCCTTTCCTCCCGTCCACCAGGCACCGCACGAGTCTCTCCCAGACAGTCTGGTGTGTGCCGCCATTTTTGGTGACGGGGCAGCTGCCATGGTCGTGGGCGCCAACCCCCGCACCCACGCCTCCCACGCCATACACGCAGCACCTGCTGCACCCGCCCTGCAAGAAGCCACCACCTCGCCACAGCAGCAGCAGCAACAGCAAGGATCCCCACCGCCCTCCCCCAGCCCACCTGCTGGGCTTTCCCCTGAGAAGCCCATCTTCGAGATCGTCCGTGTGGCGGAGTTTTTTCTGCCCGAGACAACGCGGCACATTGCGGGGGATCTGACCGAAGCGGGGCTGCTGGTGCACCTGCGGAGGGAGGTGCCGCTGCTGCTGCCCGGGCCGGTGAAAGATTTCAGTGCTGCCCTGCTGGGGCAGGCCGGCGTGGGGTTTGCTGAGAGCTTTTGGGCGGTTCACCCGGGCGGGCGGGCGATTTTGGACGCGATTCAGCGGAATTTGGGTTTGAAGAAGCATGCGCTGAAGGCGAGCAGGTTGGTGTGGCGTGCTTTTCCTGGTTTGCGTGATTGTCATCCGTTTTTCTAGAGAAAGAGACATCTGTTTTGTGCTTGTGTTTTTCTTGTTGTTGTGCAGGGAGGTGCTTCGGCAGTACGGCAACATGTCAAGCGGGTCCGTGCTGTTTGTGCTGGATGAGATTCGAAGGAAGAAGAAGCGTGCCGAGCCGCAGTGGGGAGTGGCTTTAGGGTTTGGGCCCGGGGTCACAGTTGAAGGAGCATTGATGCGGTTGCTTTGAAAGGGCAAAAAGAAGGTAATGACGGGGAGGGTAATTTGTACAGACAGGAATATACCTGTTTTAGGTACTGATCTTGGCTAGTATGCTTGTACATAATATGGAAGGGATAAGTATATAAACATGATCGATGGATCTTTGAAGAGAACTGCCATGCTGTCTGTACCGCTCTAGCGGGCGAGGAGTCTAGGAGTGCGTACAGGTGGTGTAAATAGTGTTCAGAACGGTCATGTGCGTTTGCTATGGTTTACCATATTTCTGACACTTCATCTGGCGCGGAATCTGGGAATCCTGCCCCATTTATTAGCCAGGTAAAAACGATTCCTCGAAGCTCCAACGTTGCAGTCAGGACGAGACTCTGAAATCCTTCTCTTTTCATCGTCACGCAGGAATGGCCGTGGTATCTCGTTCCGCGTGTGTTGCCGTGCGACATGATTGCATAGGATCTTCCAGCTCTCGCTGGTTAGTTGAAAGCGTAGCTCATCCAATCAGGCGGTCAGCAAGAACATGCGTCGCTCGTCGTACCATAGCCGTTGCGGCTTCTCCCTCTCCAGACAAAGGTATTGACACGTCAGCATTACCTACGCCGTCTCCAGCGGTCTCAGAGCCTGCCGGTTTGTTAAATAAATCCGTCAGCTTATCTACCAGCAGTCAAGCGGCTCCGTCAATCACTCCCACCCTTGCTTCCTCTTCCGACAACGTTAACGTCCCCGTTGACGTCTCTGTTGCTGCTGACGGAACATCCTTCACTGCTCCGTCAGGTGAAGCTTCAGTCTCGCTTATGTCGTCCTCTGCAACCCCGTCGTTCGCGGAAGCACCGTCGCCATACGAGCTGTCGAGCCTCGAGGCGGCTCTTGAACAGCAGCCGGCCATTCTGGTTGTCGTCGCGTCCGCGCTCGTGTTGGTCTACCTCGTCGCAGGAGGTGCGTTTTTTCCCGCCGGTTAAGAGTGCATCACGTCCGTCTCGTGCGCTTTCATTTCGTTCAATAGCTTAAAACCCAGGGTCCACAGGTTTCAAAGGTAGGAAGGTTGGTTGGACTTAGTGACAATTTCGAAGGTAGGAAGCTTGGTTGGACTTTGTGACCCAACCAAAGGTAGGAAGGATGAGGCAACTTCGGGATACTTGAGACTCCGGTTTTAACATTGAGCTCATTGCCTCATCTGCTGACTTGACTGCTACGTTTCCGCCATGTCTGGCCTATGTGCAGAGTTGGGCCGTTCCCGAGGGTGGTAGGTAAGGTGACTAGCAAGCAGTGGGAGGCAGATCAGATCTGCCTTTGTTGAATGTAGATTGTACATTTGTATAGCTTTCTGAGGAATGTAGTGTACTTCCTGTGGTGAGGTCTTGTCAGAGGAATGTGATGAGTTCGCCTGTCACTTTTTAATTTATCACATGACACTGCTGATGAGTTTTTTACCTTATTATTCGAGTTTGCAAATCACATTTACAAAAACAATTCAAAGAATGGTATAGATAATTTATTTCAACCAGCCTTACCCGGCTATGCCTTATGGCTAGAGAGCAGGCCAGCTTATTGCCTAAAAAAAACCCAAACGCATTTTGCTGGTGATCCAGACTCCAGAGTCAAGCTCTGCAGCTCGCTGGCCAGCCAGCCCTTCCTCCAATCTAAAACCTCTTCCATCTTGTCATAGCACGCCTGAATGCCATGGTTTGTTCTCTTGCGCACCCACACTCACGCCAGCATGCCTCCAGTGAAGAGCAGAAGCGACTCTGCTGCCATTGCATCCTCGTCCTCAGCGCCCTCCTCCCTCACCTTCGTCTCCTCTCCCTTACCCACTTCAACCACTCCCCCTGCAGTCACATTCGCACCAACTCTCATCGCCTCATAATCACCCTCCCCTCCCAGCTTCAACTGCCAAAGATACCCAATTACCATCCCGTCACAATCCTCCACCCTCCTCCCCACAGCCATACCCACTACCTCCCCCTCCCCATTCTCCCCCATTCGCCCCCCTTCCCGCCCCTGCCACCGCACCCGCACCCCCCCTTCAACCACAGCAGGGCAACCCCCCATCGCTCCCTCCATCCCCAAGCCCACCGTGCTCCTATCAAGAGTGACAGTGGGGAGCGAGGCGGCACCGAGGGAGAGCAGCCAGGAGCAGCAGGGGAGCCCCACAAGGCGGTGGAATGCGCCGTTCGCCCACAGCGCCTTCATACTCGACTGCTCACTGCATGATGATAGGCTTGCAAACACTGTGGGCACGGCTGATTGCTCCGTGCTCTCTCTCAGCTGCTCCGCTGATGCCGTCGCTGCTGCTGCAGATCCGACCAACCGGATTGCTCCGCTGCCGGTTGGCGATTGGCCGGTTTCGGTCGAGCCACGCAGGCCGTTGATCGTGATGTGCGATCCGACGAGTCGTGACGCTCGAGGCGCGATGACGCCGGAGGCGGGCGCGTAATTGGCGGCGAGCGAAGCAGGGCGCGCGGTAACAGACGCGGGTGTTGCGGCGGACACGAGCGCATGAGCACCATCGGGTTCCCCTTCCGCCCCTGCCTGCTCCCCCATGATGCCCCCATTCCCGCGCCCGTCGTCTCCCCCGCACTGCTCGCTCTCCGCCTCCTCCCCGTCGCCCTCCAACCACTCCTCCTCGTCGTCGTCGTCGTCGCCCGTCTCGTCGCTCCACCCCTGCGACTCTGTGCGAGTGACCACCGTCGTCGACGCGGACGACGACACCGAGGCTGACTGCTCCGGCGCGAGGTTCGGCACGACCAGCGCGTGAGGCTGGGCACGAGGAGGCTCAGAGAAGTCGCCCGAGCCAACCAGCACGTGCGCAGCGGCGCCAGCGGCCGGCACGGGAGGCGGCGGGGAGCGGCCGAGAGTCAGCTGAGTGTCTGGCAGCGCCTCTTGGCCGCGATTCCCGACGACTGCCGCTGCCGCAACTCCCGCCGCGTTCCACGCCGCAGCTGGCGCCGCAAGAGCCGCCTCCGAATACATCGGCCGCGGGGCCTGCCACATGAAGCCCTGATTCCGCGCGATCGGCGGCGGCAGGGAGAGGGAGAGCAGCGGCTGCTGCGGCGAAATCCCCATCCTTTGGGGAAACCCCATTTGCTGTGGAAGAACCATGAGCTGCGCCGCGCTGTTGTTTCCGCCGATTCCGCGCCATTGCCCCTGTTGCGCAACGGCCATATGCGCCGCTGCTTCCCCTCCGCCAGCCGCACCTGCAGCGCTGCGCTCCTGCGGAGCAAACCCAAAACCCGCAGCCGCAGCAATGGCTGCCGCGGCGGCGGCGGCGGCGGCGGGATTGGCGCTGGTGGAGCGGGCGGAGGCGGAGTGAAGGAGGAGGCGCGCGGCAGCGGTGGCGGGGGGAGCAGGCGCCGGGTGCAGCGTGTGAAGGGGTCGCTGCCCCGATGTGGTTACCACACACGCCCCCGTTCCGTCCGTTCCGACAGCGCCCGCGCTCGCGCCTCCGTTAACCTTGACGTTTCCGGAGGATTTGCCGTTAGCCTGCCGTCTCCTGCCGGCCGCCGTTTGCTTGCTTGTGACCGACCGGTTGCGGCCCCACCGCCCCCCGCTGCCGCTGCTGCTGCCACGTGGCAGGGCGACGGACGACATCGCGTCCTTCGCGCCGCTCTCGGCGTCGCAGCCGCCCCTGCTGCACGCGCTAGTGGCGGTTGGGGAGGTCAGATTCGACGGATCTGATAAGCTATCGAGACTCTCCTCGCACTCCACTAGGGGATCGAACGCCGCGCCGGCCGCCCGCGCGCCGGTATCTGTGTCGGGGATCGGCCCCGGGACGGCGGAAGTGCAGATGCGCGGAAGGACGATGGGGCAGGTCAAGAGGGTGGGCGGAGCAGGAGCAGGGGGAAAGCAAGCGGATGCGGGCGCCGGAGCAGTTTTGCGGGCACTGGATGGCGCAGCGGCGTTTGCGGCGATGGCGGACGCGATGGCGGCAGGCGACGGAACGAGGAGACGCGGCTTGACCGGTCCGCTGACGCGGGGGCCGCTGCTGGCGCCGATATTGCCGGCGAAACGCGACGGCAGCTGCATGAGGGGAACGGGGGATGGGGACTGACCCGTTGCACCCTGCGTCGCAGGGCTACTGGGCGGCTTACTGGACACTACACGACGAGGAACGCCGTCCACGACAATATCGGGTGTGGCGTTGAGCAGCCGGCCGAGGGGCGTGCCCTGTAACGCCTGCATCCCGCGCGCAAACGCAACCGGATCATAACGCGTACGCGGCGGGAGCACGGGGAGAGGAGTGGCGGGGTAGGAGATCGAGAGAGTGACGGTGGCAGGGGTGGGCGAGTAGGGCGCAGCTTGGGGTTGCGGGGGAGGAGGCGCGGGCGCAAGGGAAGGTAGGCGGAGAGGCGCGGTGCTGAGCGCAGCTAGGGAAGTGGAAGCGGATGGCGTGGCGGGGATGGTGAGGGGTGGAATCGATGCAGCGAAGAGTTTCCGCGGGCGCATGGCGGCAGCGTCATTTGCGCTCGGATCGTCTACCGCCGGCCGTTTTTCCCCCGTCACCGGCATCGGTATCGCATCGGGGCTGTTTGATCGACACGCTGACTGCGCCGGCGGGGAAACTGACGGCTGCCGGCTGCTGCTGCTAGGGCTGACGACAGCAAGAACAGCCTCAACATTGCGCGGAAGCACCATCTGCATCTGAGTATCGGTGCACGCTGCTAGTGTGTGGTTTCCTGCCGCGCTTTCGTCCGAACGAGCGCCTGCTTGGCTTTCGACCATCATTTGCGGCGCGTTACGCGGGGATAGGCGAACGAAGTGTGGAGCGGAGTTGAGGGCGGTGACATGGGGCGCGGTGATCGCTGCCATACCGGAAACTGCGCAATTTTTGTCGACGGATAAAATCGATCGAATCAGTGAAGGAATACAATTCAAGATCCGTCGTGTAAGGTGCGATGGAGTTATGCGATCGACCAAGCTAGCTACGGGCTACGGTGCGAGAGAATACTAGATAATCGGATGACTGCGTTCCGTGAGACTGGAATATCACTGAACAGAACCGACGATTGTCCAAATTGAATCAATATAGGCTGATGTGGTGGGTGGTAAGCTTCGGGTTCAAGAAAACACGACGGCGGAGGCTGACGGCTGCTGCTCTTTTGTGAAATGTGTGAGCGCACGACTTGCCAAGGTTGTGAACGCGAGCGGGTAATAGGATTAGGAGCCAAGAGTGATCTTTTGAGGAACGAGATTTGTGGTGCGCGGGTTTGGGGAGTTGGGTCTGGGATGGCTCGGAGTTGGATAGGGATGTGACAAGAGGGAGAGAAGCTCGCAAAGAAATCGCCCCTCTCGCGCTCCACATTCAATAAGCCGTACCGCCCGCGCTTCGGGTCCCCTCTCACATTCCACTCACTAGCCGAGACGCTATTCGCAACATGGAAATGTTGGTTCTCGAGCGCGTCTCGGAAAGCTGGGGATCCTGCGATGGCATGCGTCGCATGCAGCTTGGGCGTGCCCTGCTGCCGAAGCCATCTCTCTCACGTTTGAATTTGAGCCTGAGGTGTGAGCTTACGACGCTGTGCGACGTGCACGTCGGTCTGTGACAAGTTTAGCGACAGATGGACACCCAGGATTGCTCCAGGCGTCATCCGTCTCGCAAAATTGAATTCGTAAAAATGTCGCCTGATTCTCCTCTTTGCCGTTTGCGACGCAGAGTGAAGGACATTGTGTCGCTGACAGAAGTCGCATTGACGCCAAGTTGTCGGGCAGTTAGTGCGGTCTGGAACCGTTTTCGCATGGTCTTGTACGAGTGTTGGGAAATCGTGTGGGCGGCCCGCGCCCCGCCTACATCCATGCGACTTTGCGAAAGTGGCCATACGATCTAGGACGTCGCCTGGTCTGGTAGCCCTACCGTTTCGGCCTGAACGACGCTCCTGGTTTGTTGACGTGCCACCTCGGAATTGTCGCTCTCGAATCTGTTCACAGCGAAATCGCAAGCCTAACGACGGCATTTCAAAAGTCGCGAGATTTTTCGAGTTTGGGTGACGGGAATGTCCCCGCCAGCGGGCATTTTGAAATATCACGTTGGACATTTCAAAACACATTGAGATGAGGCCCCGCGCATGCTTCGCCGCAAAGGGCGCAAGCCTAGTGTACTGGTTGTAATGACACGTATATCTAAACGAAATAGCAAAAAATATACATAATTGACCTTGTACAAACAATCTCATCCATGCTTGCTACGGTAGCTTGTTAAAAATATATTTGACCTTTGCCTTGCTCGACAATCCAACACAAGACAATTAGAGCG